CTCAGTGGTGCTTCCTCACTATGTATCTCATTTCCCCAATGGGTAACAGTACATTACCTTGATATAAAATCAAGCTGTTAAAATAAAGCCTAAAAATATTAGACAAATGTGGAAAATCCTGTGTAGGTTGTTATATTTTTCAAGTTATTTACCTGGACAAAATAGGAGGCAGCTCCATATTGTCTTCCATGTCTTCCTCCAGATGGCAGAACAGAAGCCACTTCATTATTGTTTCTTTTGGTGTATAACTTGCATTTCCTTCCCAATAATTCTGTGCTGTCCTGATACGCAAAGTTTCTGGCACTCCCAAAGTTGCCATTGCTATTGCTAAGCACTGAGCTGCAGAACTATAAAAGATCATTTCCACAAGATTATAATCTGGATATAACAGGCTGTGTGCAATGTCATACTGTTAGCACTCAAGACTCCTCCTCTCGCTGAGGAGCAGGTTAACGCTAGAAAAACCATAAGCACTCTTCCTAATAAATCACACACACACACACACTCAAGTATCATATGCTGTAATACACTACCTGGCCTAAAATAACACAAAATGGAAGTAAGGCATGGACAAGTCTGGACATACAGTTTAGAAGTGAAAAGAGCAGCTGGACAGCTAAGAACCTCCTCCCCATCCTAGAGAGGTGCATAATTTAGGACAAAGGGTCTCCCAAGAACCTACTGCCTCACATTGGACTAATCCCCACCAACCTCTAGCCTCACTTCCCCTCACCCATTTACCTGAATTAAGCAACACTTAACGCCATTCACCAAATACATGCAAAAAAGCACAAAACTTCAAAGACAGCATTAACTGGACCATGAAGGTTATAGTGTATTCAAAAATGTTCCCACTGTACCTTGAGGGCTTGCATGCAGCTCCTGAAAATATCTTCCAGATTTCTCTGTCCATTGTTACTAAGTGTTCTTGAATTATTACTCCAAGTAGCCCAAAACTTTCCATTTCAGTTTGCTGGAAATTCAGACTACGAACAACAAGAGACCATATTTTCGACCACGTTCGCTGCAGCTCTAACCTTTGCGTGGTTTTCAGATCTGATTTTTGGCTCTGACACAAAGCAGCTTCTTTAAGGCATCTTAACACATAAGGTGATCGTTTTCCCCGCCGTTGCTGAGGTAGTAACTGATACAGTATGTTGAGTAAGTGAGGCAGCTCATGATGAGGAAGACTCATAGGGTACTTTGATATTAATCGAATGGCAATCTGCAACCTTCAAAACATGCAAAAATAAATCAGTAAAGATTGGATAAAATTAGCAGTTTTAAGTGGAAAACTAGAATAAGTGAATTTTTACCAAGGTATGACATCAAAATCGTTCTGTGATTTTTGCAGATTGTCCCGAATCACTTCCCAACCCAATTCAATTCTTCTGCGTTTGGAGGGTCCTTCTCCATCGCCACACTCTCTCTGAGTAATGGCATATGACTGAGTGATCTCCAGAACTTTGGTGTCTTCAGTAAAGACCTGAAACAAACAAATAAAAGGAAAGATAATAACTAACATAATTTTATACTAAAATATAAATTAACTGAAAGTATTAAGGCCCAATCAGTGTAATGGAGGCTTAAGAAATGTCTGCTGATATCAGAGCCAGCTTGACTCATCCCCAAAACTTTACTTAAATTAATCTTCTTCAGAATTTAAGCATGCAAAACACATCAAAGAAACCAAAGATTTACATAGCAGTTACAGTAATAAAAGATTAATCAGTTATGTTCCTCCCCCACACAGACACATTTTGGGGCACAGAAGGATCCCCACATCTCTAATAATAAAAGGATGTGCCTGTCCATCCATGGCAAGCATAACTCATCAGTAAATGAAGCTAGGGGTTTCAAAACTGGCCACCAGCTTCAAGATGATCATGGGAGCTGCAGTGCCAAACAAGAAGGGAATCAGAACACATAATCTCCAGACCACAACCTTACCCCCACCCTTGCTTCTTGCACTGGAAGCTATGATTGTCTCTGGCAGGCACCGGCTTCAGGATGATCATCAGTGGCTATTAGCCACAAGGTATAGATAGCGGCTCTGGGGCAAGTGATGCTCTGTCTTCTTGGTGCTTGGGGGGGTCAACAGTGGGAGGGCTTCTAATGTCCTGGCCCCACTGGTGGACCTCCTGATGGCACTGGTATTTCTGGCCACTGTGTGATACAGAGTGTTGGACTGGATGGGCCTTTGGTCTGATCCAGCATTGGCGTCTCTTATGTTCTTATAAGAGGCGGGCCTTATTGGAAACCTGGGAGGTGGGAGGATGGCCACCTCTGCCAAGTGGGGGTGGACTTCCTCATAAGAACATAAGAGAAGCCAATGTTGGATCAGGCTCATGGCCCATCCAGTCCAACACTCTGTCACACAGTGGCCAAAAATACCAGGTGCCATCAAGAGTTTCAGTAGTGGGGCCAGGACACTAGAAGCCCTCCCACTGTTGCCCTTCCCCAAGCACCAAGAATACAAAGCATCACTTGCCCCAGACCGATAGTTCCCATCTATACCATGTGGCTAATAGCCACTGATGGACCTCTGCTCCATATGTTTATCCAATTCCCCCTTGAAGCCGTCCATGCTTGTAGCTGCCATCACCTCCTGTGACAGTGAATTCCATGTGTTAATCCCTCACCCAACACCCATGTCATGAAATAACAACATCTACCTCATAACACAACACCTACCTCATGATTACTTTAAATTGAAAACTCTGATTTCCACTGGTCTAGTGGGGCTGGGAAGCTCCTGTCCTGTCGGTTGTCTGCCTTTCTATTGTTGCATCACTAATCACTTTAAATGGAAGACTCTGATTTCCACTGGTCTGGCAGGGCTGGGGTACTCACCAAGCTGTTGTGGCATAACTTTGGGGAATATCTGCCTTCCTGTCCTTCAGAATCTCCCTTTGGAGACTTGGGGGAGCTGCGAGTATGGGGGGGATGCTTGCCTTGCTTCCAGTGTCTGGCTGGGGGAGTCTGCCCAGGTGAAGTTTCCCTGTGAGTTTGGTGCCACTGGCTTGTTCCTAAGCAGTCCTGGAACTGCAGTTGTCTTTTCCAGACGGAGCACTGGGGAGACCAGGACCCAAAAAATGTAATCCACCGCCAACTTGGAGAGGTTGGAGAGGAGCATGCAGCAGGGTGAGGTTCCCTGTTTGTTTGGTGTGTGTCGCTTGCAGGAGGTCTATTCTATACACTTTGAACCTGTGTCTGACATTTTCCCCAAAAGTACTTTCCAGGCTTGACCTTAGTTCTGTTGGGTCTGCAGAGCCACAGTCGCACTGATTCTGCTGGGCATGCAAAAATGCCCCCCACCTTCAGTTTCTACTGAGAGATTCTCTTGTTTGACCTTAGTCCATTGGAAACAATGGAGGATGGGGCACCTTCTGGGGGGGGGTGTAACTCAGACCCCATGAATCCAATCCTCACCAGACTCAGTGGGCAGGCAGAGGAGAGTCAGCTGGAGATCTGTGGCAAGTTTGATGTCTCTAGCTTGCACAGGATCTGTTCTGTACATTCCTGAACCTGTGCCTGACATTTCCCCAGAGAGCACTTTCCTGGGGGCACCTTCTTTGGGGGGTTATAACTCGGACCCTGTAAATCCTTTTTTTTATGCCCCCCAAAGGGGAGTTTTTATTTACATTTTCTATAAACTACAAAAACTACAACTAAAAATTGGAAGGGGGAGGGAAACTAAAACCCTAACACTATAGCTATGGGAAATGGGGAAAGGACAAACTAATAGATGAAAACTACTTGATGGGGAAAGGAAGCTACTATTCTAAACTATTTCATCTATTGGATTTAGGGAAAGGAAAGCTAATACATGTCACGATCTAATTAGCTAAAAGTAAGGCTTATTAACCTAATGTTACAAGTTGGTATACAGGTTGGTTCATTACAGTATTACTTTAAGAATATGCATTTAATAGCTTAACACAAATTCTGCCTTTAAGAACTGTTGTTCTTGTTCTAGAGTCTTTTCTTCCTGCGTTTCTTCGTTTTCTTGAGTTTGGGGGTGGCTTCTGCTTTCTCCGATTCTAATGATTCTGGTGATCCACATGGTGCTTTTTGAATCCTGTGAGTAGGATTCTTCTTCTTCTTCTTCTTCTTCTTCTTCCTCCTGATCTGGTTTTGAGTTATTTTCTTTCTTCTTATATTTTGAGTTGAACATTTGGTCCATAAATTTTTCCGCTTTTGGAACAGAGTCAATTTTGTATTTTTTATCCAGATAGTTGAAGCTCAGTCCTTCCGGGAATAACCATCTATATGGTACTCCCTTTTTTTTGCAGAGTGACAGAAAGCATCTTGTATAGTTCCCTCCGTTTTCTGACTTCAAAGGGAATGTCTTTTAATATTTTAATCCCTTCATTCTTAATTTTTAAGGGTTTTTCCATTGTAGATTTTAATACCAGTTCTCTGGTAGATCGTTTTGTGAATTTAAAATAGGTTTCCCCTAGGAGTTTATTTTTCTTTATAAAATCCGGGTAAGTCCTGTAGGCTACATCCATCTCTTTCAATAGGTCTTCCTGTTTGTAATCCATTAATGAAGCCTCCGCCAAAGGTCCTTGTTCTTCTCTTCAGGGATCCCATGGAAACGTAGATTGTTTTTGAACACTGTCCAGGTTGGTGTTGAGGTTAGTCATCTGTTCCATTAGGGGGCGCAGTGCATTTGCTAACAGTGAAGAAAAGTCTGTAGTTACTTCCTGGTTCTGAGAGGGAGTCGTTGGTATGTTATTTCTGGTCACCAGTTTTTTCTCCGTCGCCCTCTGTCCTCTCCCAGCCATTATATCAACAAGAAGTAAGTTTTCCAAAACAAGGCAAAAGTTATACGAGTTAAATCCACTTTGTATATATTGGCAGGTTTTGCATTCACTTAACTTCTTATGCACTTATTTTAGCACTAAGTCTTTTTATTTCCAATTTAAAGCCACTTTTAAATCTTTTTCAAAAAGGGGGGGAAGGTGCTTGGCCCCTCTCCCTCCACGCTTCAAACTTAGGTGCTTCCAATTACTATTAAGGTCCGTTCGCTTTTTCACCTGAGCATTGCTTAACTCACAGTTTGGAGACCTGGAGAGCTTTTGGAAGCATTTTAAAGTTTTGATCATTGTTGCTTGCTCTGGCAGTTGTCTCTAAGCCCCATATTGGCTCCATGGTGACAGTACCTTTCGGGGATAAGGTGAGCCTCAATTCCTTGGCCATCGCCTTGGAAGAGGCTCTCCTCAGCTCCCCAGGCTGAGGGTCTCCTACAGAGACCCCGGGGAGGTCCGGGACGAACTCGGACCCCTCCCATCAGCCGGGTCTCGGCGCGTCCCCATCAGAGAAAGACGGGATGCGTCCGAACAGTGAAACGCTTAAGCCAGAAGTTGGACCCTGTAAATCCAATCCTCACCAAACTTGGATGGCAGGTAAAGGAGAGTCAGCTGGAGATTTCCTATAAGGTTGGTGTCTCTAGCACACCGGGGGGCATTCTACTGCATCACGAGCTCACAAACTGAACCAGTTAATCTTGCACAAAAAAGTTTGTGACAGTCCGTGGTTCCTGAACTGAACTGCGTTTTCCCAGTTCATGCCAATCCCTAAAAGCTATGAAATGTTCAGCAAGGAAAGATCTCACAGCCTGCTTTGGGCCATTTTCCCTCATGTTCCAGGGCTCTAACACACCTACCTACCTCTTTCACTAATATCTCACCTCACTCAAGAAGTTCACCTGCAGATCCATACACTGCACTCATTTTTTAAAAAAAACTCTCTTCCTTTAGCTCTGCATCCTTTTCTCCCCACTTCCCATGCAACTCCACTGCCATTTTGTAGGGGCCCTTCCCATCCTGTTACAACTTATCTCCAAGCAATTATTGTATTCTGATGCCCAGCTGAACAACATTCACTCTCAGTGACCTGAGCTTTTGTACGGCCCACTGTATGCCTTTGAAGCCCACAATTCACCTCACATTCCCTCACCCACACAGACTGCACTGTATGCCTTGTCAGTGTCTGTTCCCTAGCTAATCCACACTCCCTGTTTTAACATTTCCCTTTGCAGACCCTCTTGATACCTTTTGTTCCAGCCTTCCTTGAAGGAGCTTAGACATAGCTCTCCAAGAATGCTGTGAAGTACAGCAACCAGTGGGGGACAGACACCCAAAATGCTTCATGGCTCCATGGGGATTTGAATGCGGGTTTAAAACACTCTAACCACTACCTCACTCTTGCTCTCACTCTGCTGGAGCTTCCCCATCAGTTTTCACACACACTACAAGCAATTTTTTTCCCTTTTCTGGAATCTATTCCTGATTGCTTTAAACATTGGTATTTCTTAATTTTGGTTGCTACCTGCCCAAAATAACAGTCTTTTATTGCAGCATGAGTATCAACCCAGGCTGAGGATGGCTTAGTGTTGTGTGAATAAGTGTTCCAAGGTGGTACAATACTAGACCAAAAAAAAAAAAGGTTTTCATAAGCCGAGAACTTCTTACTGGTTTTTTGGGAAAACATGCACACGTCATGCAGTGGTGACCAGTTCTGACAGATGAACTTCACATCTCCCCACATGATTTCTTTCAAGGTTATCTGTTATTAAGGTTTCTCTCCCTTTGCCACATAAGATGAGAAGAACAAAGCAGAAAGCAGTGGTGTCACTTGAAGGTTTATTGCTTTCTTACTTATTAGTTTCTGCTATTGTTAGAATATTTCAAATTGTTTCCTGGTTCCATATACTTATGAAATGCAACCTGCCTGATGGTTCTTTTTCAACAGAAAAGAGGCATGTCAATATTTAAATAAACAAGAAAATGTAACTTCACCTGTTGAAAATAATGGTTTCCAACTGTTGTAAAAGTTGTAGGACACAACTGATAGAGCCCTGATAGAGCTAAACCTCTTAAATTTTTACTGCTTTGGAGTTGACTAAAGAATTACTGTACAAGGAGCTAAGTTTCTGTCTTCTGCTATGAAACTATGGGCTGGGTAATGTCTTGTGTATATTTTATTCTGAGAACCTCTACCCTTCTAATTGTCTGATATACTTTGTGTTATGTGCTGTCAAAGTCACTTCCAACTTATAGAGACAGTATGAATTATTGACCTCCAGAACGTCCTATTGAGAACATCTTTGTTCAGGTCTTACAAACTGGGACCTGTGGCTTTCTTGTTTAAGTCAATCTGTTTCATGTTTGGTCTTCCTCTTTTCCTAACATTACTGTCTTTTCCAGTGACTCTTGTAATCTCATAACGTGACCAAAGTACAACACCCTCAGTCTCGTCATTTCAGCTTCTACAGAGTGTTCAGGCTTGAATTGATCTAGAACTCACATAACTGTCTTATGTACTAGGCTGAATGATATATGTGGAGATATAGTTTTTTTGTAATTAATCGACTATTGTTATTTGTTCTGCTTCTGTATGGCTCGTGGGCTATAACAAAGCTTGACTGGCTAAAGCATAACCAACTACTGAAAAAGTAGGATGAAGAACAATGCCACTAAGTTGACCCCACTTTCTACATTTTAAAATATTGTGCTTTCCTTTTATTTTTTTAAAACAAACAACATTAGGAATCCAATCCAACATTAATTTTCATTATGCCTTTCCTCTACTGAGTCAGAGTAGCATATGTAGATTTTTCTCTTCCTGTGTATTTAGCCTGTGAGGTAGGTTAAGGGGAGCGGTCACTCTCTGTCTGATGCATTGCTATGTGTGATACACATTCATTTACACTATGAAAACAATAAGGACTTTGTCCTTCAGTTGCTTATTAACTAAAATGTTGTAAGTGTATATTATGGTTTATAAATACCTAAGGTACCAAACTTGAAATTTGAAAACTTGGCTAGAATATTGGCAAGGTAAAATATTGTATAAAGAAAAGCTGGTGGGGATTTCTAAGGAAAAACTGAAAACTGGCCCTAGATCATTCTACTGTCAGGCTGGGGAACAGTTCAGGATCCTTTCTTTTCTGCCATATTTGTACACAGTACTGTTAAGAAACACATTCTGATTACAACAGCTGTCAAAAGTTTATGGTGATTCTCCTGCCTAAGGGAGGGGGGCACCCAAGTCCCCTCCTTCTCCCTCCCCGCCCCCTGCCCTCCCCCCATTGTGCTATGACTGCTTAGGTAATTAAGGTAACTCACATAATCCAAAATGGGCAATCAAGTAATTAAAAGCTTCCTAGAAGTGCAATGAACAAAGAAAAACTTCCGTAACATCCTTCCTAGTTTGCTCATATAGAGACCAAAATCTTGTTCCAAAAGTTCAGTCTGATAACTGAATGTGGTGTTTTACACTGTTAATTAATGTATTAGAATTTCAAAGAACCACTGGAAGACCTTTTGTTCTTGCTGGGCAATTCTTGATTTCGGCAACCACATTAAAATCCACTATGTATGGTAAGTCTTCCCTTCAGTAAATCCAATAAAAAAGCTTGCATGCAAGTCATTGTTTGGCAAAACAGCCATCTTTGCATAACTGATTTAGACTTTTTCTTCCCACTGTTCATATGAAGATTCCAAAGCAATCTATATTCATTAAAAACTAAGAATTCCTTTTGTAAAATCCAGATTATAATATAATCATTAAAAACCAATACCAAATAAAGAATTGTGAATAGCGAATACCAAAAGGAAAAAGACCCTTCAGAACAAATATTGTAAATTTTTGAGAGACTGATACCTTGCTGTTTATGGACTTATATATATATGCTAACACACTACATGGATTGTGCACACACATGTTTGCCCATAGGCTCAAAGGTAAAAGCTGCTTTAATTGCCTGTTGTGAGAGATTTCACATAGAGGGTACTGAACTGCATTTCATGCTAATGAAGATTGCAGACACACACACACAGCTTCTAGCCTCAGGGAAAAGTGAAGCACATCTCGCCATTGTTAGCAGAAACTACAACCAAGGAAAGGAAATCCACCATTGCTGAGAGACTCGATGTCATGTCTTACACGGATCAGATCTGCATTTGAATTGCCATTTCCTGGTGGAGGTGCCTTGAGTACTTGGGAAAGCCAGTATTGATCTGCACATCAAGGAGATGTCTTGGCGCCTAGATTTCACACCTGACCAGATGGGCTTCTTCCTGAGTTAGACCTAGCATTTGAATATTGGCCCAACCCTTAAAGGTGCTGCCCCTTACTACACACACCAATGAGATGTAGGTATGGGACGGACTACAGATAGGTGGGTCTACAGCTTGGCAAGGTTACCACCCACCCGAAGTTTTCACTATAAAACGCGAGGACCAAACGTTGGGTCTTTGCTAGCCACATCCCCTTTCCACATCCTCTGTCTTCTTTTATCCCCTAAGGTCCAGCTTACTATCCAATAACCCTATTGTCTAATCTTGATTTCTTGGACAGCAGCCAAAGGGGTCCATGCCCTGCTGGCTAGTTCTAGCAGAGTGTGAATTAGTAAATACCCCTAGGTACTCTTTTCTTACCCTCCAATTGTTCATTGCATCAGACAAGGCTTCAGGAAAGATAAGTATGAACGTAAACCTACCTACCTCCTAGTAAAAGGGAAGCTATTTTTATATTTCTGTAACTCTAAAGGAACTTGATTGTGTGTGAGTGTGATTCTATTTTGTATGTATGTGATTTTGATATTATTCAGTAAAAAGACAATTTGTCTTGGAATCAACCAGTCTTGTCTCCATCACTGGGAACTCTGGGGCTGACAGGACCTCTGTAAACTTTGGCAAGAACTCACGTTAAATTTAGTTGGCCATCTGCTGTAAATAAGTCAGTTTGGTGCAACAAAATGAACACTTAATTTTCAAAATCGTTTTGAAATAAGTACGTTAAGATTCTGTGGAATGTCATTAGACAAGGGGCGTATTAAATTGCCTGCAGGAAGGCACTTCAAAATTCTGGGGTAACTTCAGGGAAAGTGCAGCTTCTTGTAAAAGTCAACCTAAATGGGCTGGTGAGGCTTGGAGCAGAGTGTCTCCAGCTAATCTTAAATTTCAAGGAGGTTCGGATAATATATGCTCTGCAGTCAACCATACCCTGAAGAGTGGAATTCTAAAATTAAACAATAAATACAGTAACTTGAAATATGTTGAAAAGGTGTTTCAGGCACTGACTCTAATGATTTAATGGAAATGAGCAATGTTGTTGTACACACTGCTTATGGAACCAGTACTCTGCCACTGGCTAACAGTCCGTTTACCTTAGTAGGTGCTCTTAACGCTTTCATGGTGCATATGTTAAGTGCCTTTGATGATTCTAATCACAAAGACTGAAATCAATCATGAACATCTATTCAGATATTCACTTTGGTTCATGGCTTAAAGGCATTCTGGGTAAAATACCAAATGCTGACAGGCAGTAAACTGACTGACCTTGCTTGTTCTGGCCAGTTGTAACTGCGCATGCTTCTGATGTCAGTTTGCTTGCATTAGATGGAGAACACTGCATGATGTACTAATATTTGTTACAATTCTCACAGAATAAAAAGAAGGCCTATTGTTTAGCTGAAGGAGGTATATTTTTGCCTGAGAAAATCCAGCCTACAGGTTGGAGCCCAATCAGAATGGAGTGACGGATGTATGACAAAGTTTGATGGAACCAATAATTGTGATTTATTTCTAAGTGTCATAGGGGGTATAAGACCCTATGTCTCCCATTGTAACCCTAGGGAGACTGCCATGTGCTTTCTCAAATTGGGCTGGGGGAGCACAACCTTTGACGGAGTTTCTGTCTTACAATGTCATA